AAGTAACAACAGGGCGGTGCCTTGCATGGGTCTAGGGACCCATTTGCACTTGCCCTTTTGGGGATCAGCAATTATTTTTAATTATTCTTCATAACTATAATTAATTACTTATATTTCATTAATGATATGTCTTCTTGTAAATTATATCATGATTTCATTCTTGCCCCAAAAAAGTGTCAAAACAAAAAACAACAACAACAACAACAACAACAAGGGGGAAAGGTTCGTTTCCCTCCTTTTTCGCACAGCCATTGCGTACTACGTGCGCACTCCATTTTCCCTTCCGTCCCTTCTTCTTCAAAGCCTGGGCACCACGCATGCTAGAGTCAATTGACTGTATTTGGCGTGGTTTCTCAATATTGCGTCGTACAATAACACACCTCTTCCAGAGATAAAGTATTAGTAATTAAGAATAACAATAGCCTGCGTAGCAAGCGTTTCCTCTCTGACTTTCGCACAATAACTCGATTGGAAACGCTTGCTACGCAGGCTAGTATAATGATTAAGGACACCTTAAACGTTAGCCAGTTTCAATCTAGAATGTCGCCATAAATCATTCTCATTTTTGGCAGCAAAACTTTGGAATTTTCTACCTGCGTATGTTAGAAACGTTAAAGACTAGCCTGCGAAAACATCCGTTTCTCGAAATGTCCCCAACGGCGAAGAGCGAGGAGAAACAGATGTTTTCGCAGCCTAGTTAAGGACATTTCCACTTTTACGCGTCTTTTAAATTATCATATTCTTTAATTCTAGCAGTGATTAGTTATCAATTTTAATACTCTTTGAACATAGATTAAATTTAATTATGGATTATATATATCAAAATTATTATTAGCTGTTTTTATATAGATAGATGATTTTAAATTATTGCTTTTTCTTTCTTTTTCTCAGTTTCTTTTTTTTTTAATCGTTTTACTTATTGTTTTTTTTTTTTTTTTTTTTTTTTTTTTTTTTTTTTATTTTTCTTATTTCATATACATTATTTAATAATTTTTTATTTATTTCTTGATGTTGAGGGGGGTAATAAAGTATAATTGCATTGTTTTGTAAGCCCGGGGGGGGGGGGGATAGTATACTAAGCGCCAACTCTCCTCCGCATAAGCTCCCGCTGGGTATCCCAATAAAAATAATCGAAAAATAGAAACCGCGCGGGGAAGGATGGGAAGAGGGAAAAGGCGGGAGTCTCTCTTCTCTCTTCCCCTTCCCATCGTGCCCAGCGCGCTCTCTTTTTCTTTCTTTCCTAGGGTCTCTGCGGGGGAGAGAGCTAAGTGCCCACATGCATAAAAGCTTCAACTGGAAAAAGGCTCAAAAGAAGTAACAAAGCAGGAAATCCCATATAAGAGAAAAGGTTTTTTTTAAAGCTTCTACGGTTTTGTTTTCCCAGTGGTGGTCATGTGGTATAACTATCGTTCAAATATCGTCTCATTAACGTACATCTGTACTCATAATTTAAGAAACTCCTGCCAGCTATAAGGGGGAATTTTCTTAAGCGCATTTAAAACAAAAGCGGTTTCAAAAACGCTAGATTTATTATAATTATTGTGTTATCCATTTTGAAGGTGGCATGTAAAACCCATACTCACTGCCTTTAACTCAGAAAGTTTATAGTAAAATAAATTAGGTATGGAGAGCGTGTCTCATATCCTATAGAAAAAAGCCCCTTTTCAGCTTGTATACTCAGTCCCTCTAGGCCTCACAGATGAGGTGCAAAATTATCAGAGGCACCCAACGAGAATATAGTTGTTAAACGTATTTTAGTATTTAAACGGTAGATATAGCCATATTTTTATCCCCTAAAAATTTTTCATTTCTTCGGATTTCCTAGCTGAAAGTCTAGTGATCCGAAAATTATAGGTATCAAAACTTACCTTTTCGAAAATTTCAGCCAGAAAAAAAGGCTCCCTATTTAAGGCAAAAATCCGTTAAAAATGAGCAATTATACCATTTTTTAGATGTTCGAAAATCCTAGGAGAGGCTGGGAAGCAAGAAATTTTACAACAAATGTTCCGAAAATTCTAGATCTCAAGTCGTCTCCTCAACAGATATTTTCCGAAAAATGGCCTTTGAGTGCCCCAAAATTATTCAAGCGCCCTTTTTCCAGTTTTTTTTTTTCTTTCTCTTCAAACACGATCCCATAAGTCCTTGCGTGATTTTCTTCGCTCTGATTTAATGTGAGCATTTGATCTTGAAAATGCCGCATAACAACAGATCGCTGAATCATTTTTGTAAGTTTAAACAAACAATTTAATGAAAACAAGCCATATCTTATTACACTAAAAACCTGTAATATATTGATCAGTTCGTATTAAGAGTTGAATCCAAAGTCATAGACTTGGACACAGTTTTAAATTTTGTTTCGTAAATTTCATTTGGGGGCTCAGTGATTCCGTATATAAACTATGGGATAAAATGGTACGGCGGTCAAACGTACCTTGGCCACAAGCAGCGCCTATGTCACTATTTAAACAGAATAGCTCTAAGCAAAGTGAACGGAATCAAGCGAAACATTAAAAGAACATAAACAAAACCTGATAAGAAAATTCTTCTAGTGCATGAAATAAAACTTTACAAAGAGTACGTTAAAATCTCTCCATTTTGAATGGTCTGCGTAAATGGTCGCCCATAATATTTAAAAAGGAAGCTTCTCAAAAACCCACTGTGTGAAAAAACTACGATATTTGACTCATGCTGGCTTTGCAGGAAATCATAAAATCTCTCGATTCTTCCCTGAAAATGACAGCCAGTAAAGGTTTCTCCCAACTTGAAAGTTCCGTTGTTTAAGACAAATTCATAGCACTTTTTTGGATCTGTAAGTTGACCCTTCAGCTTTTCTTCCACAAACCACCAAACGTTAGAAGGCAAATTGTTGAAATCAATGGATGGATACATCTTCACAAGGTTTTCTTTCATAGTTCCAATGTCGCAAAGCGATTCTCCTATCTCTGCACACAGATGTGAAGCAAGAACGTTTTGATTTCCGTAGGACCGAATACAGGACTCGATTGCTCTCTTCAAAGGGGAAGTAATGGCAACTTCTGCGTTCAAATCTTGTATTTTTTGTCGTATTGAGTTAGCCTGTTCTTCGCCAAAGGCGCTCAATGGAGCGTCCACAAACTCCTCGCTCTGTAATCTCTTATCAAGGCGCGTCAGTTTGAATTTCTCTTCTGTCTCGTTCCACGTAGATTGAAAGTGGCGAACAAAGTGAACGGTTTTTTTCCCTGACAACATGTTCTCACTTGAACTTACTTATCCTGGCTTTTGAAAGAGTCGTTAAATCAGAAAAATAACATTGAGAATGGGTTCATTCATTTCCTTCCGTTAGTCATCCTACTTACCATACGTGAGTCACGTGCTTATGTGACCGTCCCATGCCTTTGTCC